CAATTATAATATTCACCCTTTGTTATCTATGAAGTCTGAAAACTTGATGTTGTCTTTACTGATACCGGGACCCCACTCTCCCGGGAATGATATTGATGTTTATTTGCAGCCATTGGTAGAAGATTTTAAAGATCTGTGGGTAGAAGGTATTGATACATACGATAAATTTAGGAATGAGACATTTAAACTACGTGCTGCGGTGCTATGGACTGTTAGTGATTTTCCTGGTTATTCTATGCTCTCGGGATACAAAACGAAAGGTAAATTTGCATGCCCAGAGTGTAATTATGGTACATCTTCCGTGTATCTAAAGCATAGTAAGAAGACTGTTTACATGGATCATCGTAGATTTTTAGATACGAATGACCCAAAGCGGAATAGAAGGACATCGGTGGAGAAGAGGCTTGCACCAAAGCCATTATCTGGATTTGATGTCATTGAGGAACTGTCTTCATTTAATAATGTCTTCGGGAAGTCAAAGAAGAAGAAAATAGATAGTAGCTGTGCATGGAAAAAAAAATCTATATTCTTTGAATTACCATATTGGAAATTCAATGATTGTCGACATAATCTTGATGTTATGCACATAGAAAAGAATATTTGTGACAGTTTGATTGGAACATTGTTAGACATTCCTGGGAAAAGCAAAGATCACACAAAAGCCCGACTTGACCTTGTGGAACTTGGTCTTAAAAGGGAGCTACAGCCTGTTCTTTCTGATGATGGCAAGCATATTATTTTAAAGAAGGCACGATTTTCACTTTCCACCGAAGAAAAAGAGTTGTTTTGTTCTGCTTTAAAAGGAGTAAAATTACCTTATGGTTGTGGATCTGATATTGCACGTTGTGTACATGTTCCAGAGAAGAAAGTCTCGGGTTATAAGAGCCATGATGCTCATATTATGCTGCATTTCTTGCTTCAAGTAGCCATAAGAAGAACTTTGCCTAAACATGTTGCCATACCTTTAATTAGGTTGGGCACATTTTTTCAAAAGATATGCAATAAAGTCTTTTTACCTGAAGAGCTTGATCACTTAGAGTTAGAAATCAAGGAAGTATTGTGTGATCTTGAAGAAATATTTCTGCCATGTTTTTTTGATATAATGGTCCATTTGCCTATTCATTTGGTGAGAGAGATTAGACTTGGTGGACCAGTTCCATATCGGTGGATGTATTTTATGGAGCGATATCTATGCAAGTTGAAGACATATGTTCGTAATAGAAGTCGTCCGGAGGGATCTATAGCAGAAGGGTACCTAATTGAAGAATGCTTGACATTTTGCTCTAGATATTTACAAGATGGTGTTAATAGAAAGCTACATACTGTCTCTAATAACATTGATATGAATGCCAATATCGACTTCACAGTATATAACACCACTGGTTATCCACTGGGAGGGATCAAAAGAAGAAAAGGAAAGCCATTCACCTTGGATGATTTGACGTCCAAGCTTGCACATCGTTATGTTTTATTTAATTCAGATAGTAAGGAGTTAGAAGATTTAATTCGGTAAGAAAATAATTACATTGTGTCCTACTTTTTTAATCTTATTATTCATCTATTTAACATATACTGTCTTTTTTTAATAGAGAACATCAAGATCAGATGTGTAGAAACAAAAAACGAAGTAGATGGGCGCAAGAGCATAACCATAGTCACGAATTCACTACTTGGTTAAAGGACAATATATCTAATCACCATGTGTCTGATAATGTATTTTGGTTATCAAAAGGACCATGTCCTACTGCAAAGAGGTTTATTGGATATTTTGTGAACGGATACCACTTTTATACAAAAGATCGTGATGAAAGATGCAAAACGCAGAATAGTGGAGTGAGTGTAACGGCTGTGACAAACAGTTTTGCAAGTTCTAAGGACAAGAATCCTGTCATCGGTGATGTTGTCTACTATGGGGCCATACTAGATATAATTGAAATAAGTTACTGGTCAAAGTTCAAGATTGTATTGTTCAGATGTGAATGGTACCAACCTGAGAAAGATGAGTATGATCTTAATTGCGTTAACACCACAAAGTTTTGCTCTTCAAATGATCCTTTTGTCATGCCATCTCAAGTACATCAAGTTTTTTATGTCGTAGATCCTCTTAAGAATGAGCTGTCATATGTTATGGAAAGAATTCCTAGAAGTTTTTTTGATTTAGAGACTTCGATAAGTGAAGAGGCTGAAGTTAACTACTGGCAGGAGCCTGTAAATCACCGAGTTCACACTTATCACAATGAATCTAATGAGGATGTAGATGGATATAGAGAAGATCTGGCTCCAACTATTCTTGATGCTCAATCTGAGACTGTAAATGTTGGAGAACCAAGCAATGAAATCATAAGCGAATCAGATGACGAAGATGATACACTATGGGATTGGATGCATGCGAGTGATGAGGAGCAATAGCTTTGTTTTACTTTTCATTTGAAGTGATAATAACATGCCCATTTTATTTGAACCAGCACATGTGACTTTTTATGTTTGAAATAATTTGGGTTATTTCTTAAATAACATGCTTAATTTTGCTAAATGTTTGAGTTTCCAGGATTTCTTACTTGAAGCTAACATGTAGCTTTTGATGTTTGTCTTTGATTGCTTTGGTAATTCTGTGTTGATAAATTTCATAAAGCAGATTAGATTTGCACTTTTCAGTTTCTTCTCCTATCAGTCAATTTAATTTATGATTTGGGTAAGCCATCTTGTACTTGGAAGCTAGGTATGTCAATGATTAGGGGTAAAACCGGTCCCTCCTATTCGTCTCCTTTACTTTCTATATAAATATTTCTTTGCAACAGCCAACAAGTAATTACACATATAAGTGATACTAATTCTGGTATACTCTCTGTTTTGTTTTGTAGGCACACATGGAGAAAATTAAAAGAGAAAATTTGGCAAGAAATTTAGCTTCAAAGTGAACTTCAGCTGCGTTTGGAGAAATTACGCCAGACTATGAGAAGCAACGCAGGGAAATAATTCGCCAAAATAAGGAAAAGATGATCGCATTAAAAATCGCTGATATCTCTACTTCATTGTCAAGTTTGGTGGATAGTCACAATGGGAGAAAGAGAAAAGAGAAATCGAGTAATGATCCTAATTATGTTCCTACGATTGAAGAAAGTAACTCGTTAAATATGGATGAAGGTGTGAATCTCCCGAAAAAGGTAACGATGTAGATATACTTGTTGAAAAAATATTTATTTAATGATATACTTATTTTAATGAGTTTACAAAAAAGATCAGCAGACCTAAAATCTTCCTCCAATATAGAGAAATCATCACTTTCGTAATTTTGGGATGGGGTGACAACTTGTTGGAGGGGCTGAGCATTATGAAATGAACTATGATGTGCAGGTGGTAATTTCTGGGATCATGTTTCCAATTTACACTACTAATCTGCGAAGCAAATGCCTAAATAACCACCATAGTACTACTTATTTAATCAAGTCAAATACTTAATTTGATGTGCAGGTGGTTAATTAAATTATATTGAACTAATTCTGCTATTATATTGAATGCACCTAATTATCAAGTTTTTTTTGAACGAAACTGGCTTAATATATCATACCAAAAAGGACCAAACAGACTGAACTAAACCAGGTAACCGTGTGACGACAAGTCCCCTATCTACTGTCCGCCCAAGGACCAGACTTTGAATTAATCACCTCCGTAGAAGCCATATAATTCGCTTCCATCTTTCCAGTTAATATTTAGTTGGCCGTTTATTTGAAAACTTTAGAAAAGATAGTTTCGGCACGTACGTCATCGGTAAACTGATTTTGCATGTGTTATACATGCGGTGTCAACTGGCGGTAAACTGAATTCGCATCATTCTGTTTTTATTAACAATTAATGGTTGCAATATTATTATTTTTGTAGAAAAAACTGCCAAAGTATATTGCACCGCAATCACTTAATAGGGTTCTGAGGAATAAACAACCTCAAGGCATGTCAAAAATCATTTCTAAGGATCAAAATGAACCTGTGAAAGAAGTCACAACACTGAAGAGCAAAAGAAAGAGCCCTGTTATTGACGCAGTTGTAAATATGGCCGAGTATTTACGAAAGAAATCAGGTGATGAAGTTACGTTTCAGAACAACAACCAACCTCCTGAAAACGAAGGTTTAAACTTGGAGTGATTTTTATAGATTGCTATTGTATTTTTTTAATTGATAAATATCTAACGAGTTACGCATAATAATTAATTTAGTGCAAGGCCATACAGATATTAGTGCATGGACAAATGATGAGATATCTTATAGTGCTGAGTCCGATAGCGCCCAAGGTATGCATTTCTAATTTTTTAATATGATTACTGATAGCTTGAGTTCACAATTTTAAATTAAATATTTTATGTAGGTGGAAAGAAATATCAAGAAGGGAATGACGATGACATGATGGATCAGAATATAGAAGAATTTGAGAACGATGGTATTTTTATGGAAGCAGTTCAATTTACTGGAGATGAGATTGGAGATGAGATTACTGGTAATAAAATACAACAAAGAGCAAGTAAGTGTTTTGAATTTTTTATGATAACATTTAATAGTATAATTATGTCATCTCAAATAATAAATCATGTATCTAGAGTATTAATTCACTTAGGTATTTTTCACTCTGACTTACTTTTTTTCTAACTCTTGTTCCCTTCATAAACATATTCAATTTTGATGTACATAATAGATGATGTGGAAAAAGAAAAGACAACACGTGGTCCTACAATGATGCATGTAGTACACATGAGAGAATATTGTATACCCATCATATTAAATAAGTTTGGTCAACCCATTGGGCCTGATAAAGCTACATTGGATGAGTTTTCATCATTTCTTGGAACGGTTGCTCGCCATTATGACTTTGCTCCATTAGTTGAATCTACTTGGCTCCGTGTGCCAGACAAAGATAAGATGTGGGATTATGTTTTGGTATGTATTGAAGTCATATTAAAATATTAGAGTATATTAGTTTGCATATTACTAACTTCTTAGTTAATTTTTCAGTCAAAATATGATGTTCCCATAAATGGAAAAAAATGGGTACTAAGTACAATAGGATCTTCATGGAGGGTACACAAGTGTCGATTCAAGAACAAGTTTTGCAAAACTTATAAGAATGACAAGGATAGGTGGCGTAACCGCCCGAAAGAGATTCCACAAAGTGATTTTCGAGTTCTTTTAAAGTTATGGAATTGCAAAGACTATCAGGTATTTGAAATACATTTGTTAAGCACATATATAAAGTTCTTACTTTTTTTTACATTTAGATCTAATTTAATATATGCAAATATTATTCTAGAACAAATGTTCTCGTAACAAACGCAGTCGCAGTTTCCAGAAATATAATCACACAGCTGGTCGTGAGTCTTTTGCGAGAATTCGAGACAGATTGGTATCTAGTATATATATTATATAAATTGTTATGTTCTTATTTGAGAAAGTATATGATATATTTTATATAATTTGTTATGCTTTGCTTTGACAAAATATATGAACATTTTGTTAATTATTAGTCTCAGGAAATTGCCCTTCCAGATTCTGATGATGATGGTGATGGTGATGGTGATGATATACCTTTATCAGTCATGTTTGAGGTGACACGTCAAAGGACAGAAGGGCGAAAATACAAAGACTGTAATGAAGATACATCAGCAAAAGTGGTAAACCTTATTTTCTTTTTTTTGTTACTTGATTAACTATCATAATTAAGGTCTCATTTGCTACTGCGTAAATGCTTTTTTACTTTAAGAATAAATTTTTACTGCATAATCCTTGTTAAATTGTAACTGCCAACATTGCATTTTTCTATTGCAGAGTTGCAGTTTTTACTACAAAATGCTGTTTTTTACTGCAGAATTGCAGTGTTTTACCCCAGATTTTTTTTTTATTGTTGCTGCTGCATTGCACTTTTTTTTACTGCAGAGTTGCAGGTTTTGCTACAGAGTTACAGTATTCACTGCAGAATTGCTGTTTTTACTGCAGGGTTGCAATTTTTTATTGCAGAATTGAAGTTTTTTTACTGCAGAAAATTCTTATTAATTTTTTTCTACAACATTGCAGTTTTTCTACCACATAATTGCAGATAATGTAGTTAATGTTGCTTCATTACATTGTTGTATTTATTTTGAGTTTACATTTATTTTAGGTTGAGATGAGGAACTATGAGTCACAAAATAAGGATGAAAATGGTGCTGCGATTGATGGATATTCACATGTTATGTCAAAAGAGATTGATGGCCGTCCAATCATGCGTGGTAGAGGTGTCACTAAGAAAGATCTTGTTAAAGGGAAGGATAACCGACAACCGTGTGTTATGACTCCTGACAATATGAACACAATTTTAAGTGACTTGAGGAAAGAGTTTGAAGTGGAAAATGAGAAAAAGAATGCTGAAATAGAACAAATGCGCAAGGAGCGTGAAATTGAAAAGCAAAAGATCAATTTGGTTTTATCAAAACTTGTTACTCTGATTCCGGATCTTGATCCTACCTTACTTGGCCTATAGAGCTGAAGTACAAATCAGGTATGAGTAGTTAATTAAACATTGCGTTTTAGATTAATAGTTTGATATTTGTCATTCACTCGCTCTCTTTTTTCTTTCTTTTGCAGAGACATGTTCGTGTTGATGAGGTCGAGTTTGATGGTTTTTGAAGAAGGCTATTACAAGTGGATTTACTGTTTTATAGATTAAGTTAAATTTATTTATTTATTTATTTTGTCGTTGATCGAGCATAGCTCAAAACTATTAGTTGATATTTTTCACTTTGATACTTCGAATGCTTGATGTTACAGTTATTCACAGACCATTTCATTACAAGGAATTGTTTGAATATATTAATGTTGATTGAATATTTTTCAAGGTTTATATATATGATGATAGTATTTATATTGTACAAGCTAGCTTATCTTCATTCATAATACGTCATATACGAAAGTGCAATGCATTATGAGTAAAAACTTGATGCTATTGCTTGGATTTAAGAGTTACACATGTTAAAGGCGAATCCCAATACGTGTTACGTACTTTAAAAAAATGTTACTCTAATTCTTTCAAAATGTTGCATCAAATTTAAAATGTTACCTAAAACTCTGAATTAAATGTTGCATAAAATTTAAAATGTTACATAAAATTTTGAATTAAATGTTGCGGCAAATTTAAAATGTTACATAAAGCTACGAATAGTGTTGCGTGATGTAAAATAGGGTTGCAAAAGAAATATTATAAATGTTACATCAATGTAAAAAGTGTTGCATAACATTAGATTTTAGGTGTTACATTTGATTAAAAAAAAGTTGCATAAGGCTCTCGTGAAAGTGTTGCAAAATAGTGTTGCATTTGTGATAGTTACGCAACACTTTTGGAAGGTGTTACTTAATTAGGTAAAAAATGTTGCATTTGACTTTATGCAACGAGACCTGATGTAGCACTTGTGAAAGTGTTGCTTTAACTGTTTTGCAACAATTTACCTATCTAATGTAACATTTTCCATGTGTTGCGTAGGGCTCATTTTGTTGTAGTGATATAAGAAATTGTGTCCATCTCTGCTACATAATTGGAAGCTTTCAAGCTATTAACTGTTAATTTATGTGTTGGTTTACCAAATGTGGGTATGTGTGTGTCTGTTTGTCTGATGTTTGAATTTTCATGAATTCTTTGCAGAATGTAATCTCAGTTTGGGAGCAAAAGTGTTCTAACTCAGAAGAAGCATGGGATTTAGAAATCTGAATGAGAAACAGAGAGAAGTCCATGAGTTGAGTGTTGAGTTATAGCATAAAAGTGAGATTTTGAAGTTTACAGCTTCAATCCATGTAATAAAGGATATTGATACCCATTTGTAACTATAAAATCTAGTTCAGAGTCCATACTAGGCTGTATGTTAAACAAAACTTGTGTTGTTTATTAGTAAAAATGTGTTTGTTATGTATACCTTTTATTTCGGTATGTAATTATGTATGTGTAATAATAGTTATAAATCTCATTACAGAACAAATTTGAAAAGAAAAATGAATATTATTTAATGACCAACAAGTATTGTAATAATACAATTATTATTATAATGGAGGGGTTACAATTATCAAAAAAATGTTTTTAATGAGGGTACACTTACTCTCACCATACACTTATTAATGAGGGGACACCTATACCGTCATTATATGTTTTTAACCGCGGAAGCTGTAGTGAGAGGCCATGACGGGATATTTCCCGTCACTAAAAGTTTTTATGACGGGATTTGGACTTTTAACCATGGTATATCCTTTCATTACAGACCAAGTTTCTTGTAGTGAATCACTATAAAAATTTATTTCCAAATTTTTCTTAATTACAGAAACGGCCCCGAAACGGGAATTTGAAGTTTCCGAAACGCTTCCGAGTTTCCGAAAGGTGGAAACGTGAACCATGAAGAATTTCCGTGCTTCCTAGTGTATGACCCTATTTTTATTCTATTATGGCATGATTATGAATGATCTGAATATGCTATGCTGAAATTAACAACACTAAAATTGCGTAATGATCTGAATATGCTATATTATGCTGAAATAATTGATGATGTTTTAGATGAAGTAGTTCAATTGGCTGAATCTGGTGAATTATAAAAGATCATATTTTAGAATTGTTGAGTATAATTTAATAGGGGCTGTCACGTGTGAATTTTTTGGGTACAAACTTAAATAAAGAAGAAAAAAAAGTAACATCCTAATTAGTACAGGAATTTTTCCCTTTGTCGAATATATAATTATATATACACCCGTACTTACGCCCAAAGGGTGAACCACTAATTAGTCCCAAGAGATCAATATCGCGGCGCAGCTAATTATTCTCCCGGCCCATGGAGCCGAATCATCAGCCATCTCTGTCTACTCCGACTGCCGCCGCCTCCGCCGCTTCTTTGAATTTGCCTCTTGGTTATCGCTTTTGTCCTACTGACAAGGAGCTCATTCTGGAATATCTCCACAAGAAGTTACTGAACGAGGAATTGCCTCCCAATCGATTTGTTGATGTGGAACTCTACGAGCATACCCCAGAGCAGCTTTCTGGTCAGTTTTATTTTTAATACTTCGTATAACATTCATAATGTATGTATATAATCATTCTGTAGGCGGCTATAAGCTTCTTCATCTTCTTTTCATCATGTTTTTGATTACATATCAAAATATCTTAATATCTTCTAATTCTACTTTAATTTTAGAAGATAAAGATGACACCGTAATTATACAAAAACTCAGTAAACATAATGTAAAACCATTCTAAAATGTGGTGTTTATGCACTACTAAATAGTACACATCAATAAACTAACCCTAATGCATGTATATTGTATACGTACTGTGCTCTCTTTATAAATTAAACCCTAAAGCATATTATTTGTGTTTCTTTTAAGGTATACGTAGTAGTAATTATACATTATTCCATCTTTGTTCCATCTGGTTACATGCGCGCAATTGAATAGTCTTCAACTATCATATAATCTTTGTTCTGAAGCAGTGAAGCTTGAACAAGCATTACTATGTTGATAATCCTTGAATATTTTACATATTTCTACTAGACTACTACAATCTATACATTACTCTGATGATATACTCCGTAATAATAGTCCGTACTCATCATTATTTTTACTAGTTGCTGCTGGACTGGATAAATTTTGTTAATTAATTCTTCCAAATTAAATACTACCTCCGTGGCTCCGTCCCACTAAGTTTGGAATAAAGGGGTGCGGTGTTGTTTTTAAGAAAAATTGAAAAAGTGGAATTGTGTGATTGGTATTGAATTGATAAAGTGTAAATAAAGTAGGAATGAATTCTAGTCATTCAAATATTACCTATTAAAAAAGTAGACATTGTAGTCAACTTTAAATTCACAAAAACTTCTTTATTTAAGTTTGTAACCGAAAAATTAGGAGGACAAACTTAGTGGGACGGACGAAAAAGGTAAAACGAGACAAAGTTAGGGGACGGAGCGAGTAAATATCTTAAAGTATCCCTATCACACGGCAAAACTATAAAACAATAAAGCATTATGTAAGACTTTGGATTACTCCTATAAAGTAGATCTATTAAAATGGAACTCTGAATCTTAACAAAATATGTTTCTATATGCAGCAAGCCATGCAATGATTGGAAAAAAAGAATGGTACTTTTTCACATCGAAAAAGAGAAACTACCTGAAAACAAATACACCAAACCCAGCAGTTGGGAGTGGCGATTCTGGGTCTACAAATGGGTACTGGAAGGAAATCGGGGTTGACAAAATCATTCGAGATAGGTCCACGACCATAGGTATTAAAAAGATTTTGATGTTCTATGAAGGAGAGCCACCGAATGGCAGAAAAACCAGGTGGATGATGGATGAATATAGAGTCGACGATGTCCCAAAATCAATAACGGCGGGTGTCAATTATCCAGACATGAGGGTAACTAAAAATTAGATATGTACAGATATACTCCAATATGTATTAATTGGTCAAGAAAAATGCATGAAAAGCGTTTTATAGTGCTAATTAAGGGCATGATATTTTTACTCCATATTAATTAACGTTTTATTTTGTTTCAGTTTGATGCGTGGGTGCTTTGCAAGATCTACAGGAACAGAACA